TGGTTTTACATTTTCTCTATGAAGAAGGGTATACTTTTTATAACACTCGATTACATGCATTATGTATTCTATTACAGTTGCTATACTTGTTCTATAATAAAGTTATCGTTGTATTTTGATAATGTAAATGTATTAGTATATAAAATCATGTCAATTTAATATCAGACTTCAAATGTTTAATAAAATAATTCATATCATGTAGTAAGTTGGTATTACATTAATTGTTTTTATAATTGTCAAAGAAAAATATATTGTCAGTAGGCCTTTAAAAAATACTTAATTTTTAGGAAAACCTAAAACTTTTTTCATAAATAAAATACTTTATTAGTTAAGATTTTAGTTTAGGTATTTATTTTGTATACAATTTGAAAAAATATATGAATACTTAAAAATTAAATAGTAATTTTAAATAGTAATTTTATGTTATTATTAATTTATTTTATGTAACTATAAAAGATATTATAAATTTATTGTTAGCTGTAAAACAAAGTACTACTGTAAATAATATAAGATTATTTTAATGTAAAAAATAAATTATACAATAGTATTATGTTAGCAATACTGCATTAGTTGGAGCTTTCTAAGTCTCCCAGCCCCAGTCCATCTTCATTTAATGATTTATAAGCAAAGTCACTGTCACATTTTAACTGTTTCAACTGCTGTAGACCATGGCTTTTAAGTACTTAAAACATTAGCTACACTCCAGTTATTATTTTGAGGAATTTCTTCTATAACTTTATTTCATTTGCTATATATTCAAAAAAATGAGTAAATGTTCCAGCAAAACAGTAGAGAGTATGTTAGTATGAAGAGTATGTTAATTATACTGTACTATATAAATATAACAAATCCTGGTTAATACTGAAATATAACAAATAATGGTTAAAAGTATAACAAGTTACTAGTGTATTATTTATGTTTATAATAAATCAGTAATTTAACATGAGACATTGTACCAGAAAAAATCAATACATATTCTGATGTGGTCTTAACGGAAACCATGCATTATTTTAGAAGCTAATTGTTTTGAAATCTTATTGTATTAGTGTTATTCAAAATTTAAGTTACTCTGATATCAAAAAAATAGTTTATTGAAATGTGATCAAATCAAGAAGCGAGAAAAAATTTTGAGAGAAAAATTCAATTTCTTGTTGAAAATCTTGTTGTATCAATGTTGGGTTGCAGATTGCTTTGAAAACAGCGCAGGGTATTGTAAAACAGTTTAATGAAACTGGTAAAATCCAAACAAAATCAGGAAGGGCAAGAAATTTTTTTTTGCCATACAAAGAGTTTTATAAAAAGAAAAAACTTTTTTGTGAAGAAAAGAAAATGTTGCAATGTGCTAAAAAATGTTGTTTTAAAATTATTGAAAATTGATGATAAAAATTATTGAGCCGCATATTTCGTTTCTCTTCCAGGACATTAATACTATTCAACAATTAATCATATGAAACTGAGTTCCAAATATAAATGCATTAAAATGCGAAAATTTACTGAAAAAGTTCATTGTTTGGCAAGCAGTTTGTGAATGTGGTAAAAATAAATTTTTTTGTGATTATATCAACAATTGACACGGAAATATACTTCAAAGAAAGCCTCAAAAATTTATTTTGTAGAATTAAGATATCATAGACAATCCATTATTTTGGTCTGATTTAGTATCATGTACACTCTGAACATCAGCACTCTGGGATAAATTTAATCTTGTTTAGAGGACATAAAATAGATTTTGTAGCATACAGTAAAAGCCTTATTTACTTTACAGTTATATTTATAAAACATGCGTACTAAGATATATGTGAGAAAAAATCTGCTTGAATATTTTAAAGGATATTTATAAGAACAAGGAACACGGTTTTGTATAAACTAATATTTTGAATACTAGATATTTTTCCAGATTTTGGGTTTCGCATTCGCTTAATTCAACCCTTGTTATTACATAATTATTGTTGTTACATTAAAATTAATCAAATATATTTTACAAACACATAGCAATTTATATTTTTGCTATCCTCTTAAAAAAAGTGAAGAAAAGGAAAATCATTCTTTTTATTTGTAGATTTCAAACTGTTTTTTTTTTTTTTTTTGCTTCGTCTTATCTAATTTTGTTGCTAAATGTAACAACAATAAAAACAGTACACAAATAATTTAAACTATTAGTGTTTTTATTTTTTTCTATTTTAATCTCTTTTTATTTTATTAGTTTTGTTTTTTTTTGTCTTTGAAACTTTTTCAGCATTGATTATTATAAAACTTACGAACCGCCGTGTTCAAGTTGTCTAAAATAAGATACTTGTGTGTGGTCATACAAGACGAAAAACCGCACACCTTTCCTGGGAAGGCTCGTATTAACAACTCTCATCTTCTCCTAAAATTAAAAGTTCTATAAGTTCTAATTCTTTATTCTTAATATTACATTATAATTGCTACTTACTTGAATATATATATATATATATATATATATATATATATATATATATATATATATATATATATATAT